CTTCCTTGGCTAACCAGAGAAATCCAGGGCAGCCTAAGGGCAAAAAGGGGGGCATATAAGCAGTGGAAACAGGGAGAAATTACTAAAGAGGAGTATGCCTCCTCAACTCGCAGTTGTAGGGAGGCAGTTAGAAAGGCCAAAGCTACCATGGAGCTGAGGATGGCATCCCAAGTTAAGGATAACAGAAAATTGTTTTTCAGATATAGGGAGTAAAAGGAAGGCCCAGGGCAGTATAGGAGCACTACTGAATGGGCAAAAGCAGTTGGTGACGGACAGGGGGGACAAGACTGAACTCCTCAATGAGTTCTTTGCCTCAGTGTTCCTAAACAAGGGGCAAGACAAGTCTCACTGTGGGATCATAGAAAGACAACAGCAGGGCACCAGACCACCAAACGTTGACCCTGAGATGGTGCAGAGTCACTTGGAAGGACTGGATGCGTTTAAGTCGGGAGGCCTGGATGAGCTCCATCTGAGGGCACTGAAGGCACTGGCCGATGTCATTGCGCAGCCACTGGCAAGAATATTTGAGCACTCATGGCGCACAGGCCAGGTCCTGGAGGACTGGAAAAGGGCCAATGTGGTTCCTATTTTCAAGAAGGAGGAAGGAGGATCCAAGCAACTATAGGCCAGTCAGTCTCACCTCCATCCTTGGGAAAGTCTTTGAAAAGATTATTAAGGCTCATGTATGTGAGAGCCCAGCAGAAAAAATTATGCTGAGGGGAAACCAGCACGGGTTCATAGCAGGTAGATCATGCCTGACTAATCTAGTCTCTTTTTATGACCAGGTTACAAAATACCTGGACGCAGGAGTAGGGGGTAGATATTGTTTACTTAGACTTCAGGAAGGCCTTTGATATGGTATCCCACCGATACTAATGAACAAGTTAAGAGGCTGTGACTTGGATGATTACACAATCCGGTGGGTGGCAAATTGGCTAGAGGGTCGTACCCAGAGAGTGGTGGTGAATGGGTCACTATCGACCTGGAAGGACATGGGCAGTGGGGTCCCGCAGGGCTCAGTCCTTGGACCAATACTCTTCAATGTCTTCATCAGTGACTTGGATGAGGGAGTGAAGTGTACTCTGTCCAAGTTTGCAGATGATACAAAACTGTGGGGAGAAGTGGACACACTGGAGGGCAGGGAACAACTACAGGCAGACCTGGACAGGTTGGACACATGGGCAGAAAACAACAGAATGCAATTTAACAAGGAGAAATGCAAAGTGCTGTGCATAGGGAGGAAAAATGTCCAGCACACCTACTGCCTAGGAAATGACCTGCTTGGAGGCACGGAAGCGGAAAGGGATCTTGGAGTCCTAGTAGACTCCAAGATGAACATGAGTCTTCAGTGTGACGAAGTCATCAGCAAAGCTAACTGCACTTTATCGTGCATCAGTAGATGCATGACAAACAGAGCCAAGGAGGTGATACTTCTCCTCTATCGGGCGCTGGTCAGACCACAGTTGGAGTACTGCGTCCAGTTTTGGGCACAGCACTTTAAGAGGGATGTGGATAACCTGGAGAGGGTCCAGAGAAGGGCCACTCATATGGTTAAGGGCTTGCAGGCCAAGCCCTACGAGGAGAGACTAGGGCACCTGGACCTCTTCAGCCTCTGAAAGAGAAGGTTTTGAGGTGATCTTGCGGCTGCCTATAAGTTCATCATGGGGGCGCAGAAGGGAATTGGTGAGGCTCTACTCACCAAGGCGCCCCTGGCGTTTACAAGAAATAATGGCCACAAGCTAGCAGAGAGCAGATTTAGACTGGACATTAGGAAGAACATCTTCACAGTTAGAGTGGCCAAGGTCTGGAACGGGCTCCCAAGGGAGGTGGTGCTCTCCCCTACCCTGGGGGTCTTCAAGAGGAGGTTAGACAGGCATCTGGCTGGGGTCATCTGAATCCAGCACTCTTTTCTGCCTATGCAGGGGGTCAGACTTGATGATCTATTGAGGTCCCTTCTGACCCTAACATCTATGAATCTATTACACACTGGAAACACAAAGTTATTTCAAACTGAAAAACAAAAAAATTGCAGATGGAGACATTTGAAACAGGATAGTTCAAACTTAAGAAAAAAATCATTGCAAGATTTAGTAAAATAAGCACTTCCCTGCAACAGTTTGTTTCAGCTAATCAGAGTTTTCTTCCAAAAAATATGTTTGAAAATTATTGCTTAACTCTAGCACAGACAGACCTAGGCCTCCATTTGGGAACCTATGTCTGTACAGCAGACCACTTAAGCACAAGGTTTATTTAGAATCAGGTCCCCTGTCTGTGCTTCTGGAAAATGTAAGCACTTTCTGGCATATCTGCTGTACAGTCTTTGTTATGACTTCTGGAAGCTGCCGTGTGACCAGCATATATGCATTTTTAGTATTGTATTATTTGACCCTATTTGCCAGTTTGCACCTAACTTACTCACACTGAGGAAATCTGTAACAGATACTTAAGAAAGGAAATGTTGCTGCACACCAAAGCACTGCATTGATGAAGGTTTAATGGTCCAACTGAAGTTTAACATTTTTGCTTCTAGGGTGTCTCTGCACTGTGAAAATCTGCAAGGCAGGGGCAGAAACAGAGAGGCGCCATGCAGTGGTGTGGTCATCCACCCCACCCCATTTTTTTGGACCACGCTGTGGGAGCAGCAATCAGGGACTTTGAATTCTGTGAAGTTGGTGAGAACCTGCCTCCCCATGTTTAGTGATATGTTCCCTCCTCTCTTGTCCCCTCCCTCCCTCCCCTGCCCACCATTGCCACTGATCTGCAGTCACCAGTTTCCCCAAAGGCAGCCAGGCAGTGCACGGAGCCAGGCTCAGCTGGGGACAGCAGCAGTGGTGGCAGCTGGTGATTTCCCCCTCCCTGTCCACTCCCCTGACATGTTCCCCACCAGCCTAGGAGCAGGTGCAGGGAGGTAGTACCTCCTGCCACTGCTGCTTTCCCTGGCTGGGTCTGGTTCCCCATGCATCTCAGATGGAGTGGAGCAAGAGCAGTTCTGGAACTCCCCCTACCCACAGGGTACTTGGGGACAGTGAATGAGAGGACAGGGGACATGCTGCAGATCATGGTGGGGAAGGGAGGTGGTGCTGAAAGTTGGGATGGGGTGGGTGGGATTCTTACCTGATTTGGGACTTAAAAAGTTCCCAGCTGCTGCTCTTGCATTGCGATGTTGCTGCCCCGGTGGGGGCCTGGAAGGTGGGGTGTAGCTACCCCTGCAAAGCCAATTGCTACTTGTATATGCCCCTTTACAAAATCCTGAATCTGTGCATGAGTGGGGGTTTGGGGGAGTTTTTTTTTTCCGGAAGCAGTACCAACCCAATTGGTCTTGTCAGAAGGGAAAACTGTTGTTTCAACCTGCTCTGAGCTGGTCTAGTTGACAGTGGTAAACCACTTAGAACCATGCATGTGCTAGTTCTAGGATCATTGCAGTGGGAAGTCTATTTAAAATACTCATTCTATATAAGGGCAGTATAGGCTCACTTCCTGATTCACTACTATGCTAGTCCAGTTTTACATCAGCATAACTGTATCATTTGTTTATAGTGATGAACCATGTCTTTCGACATTAGGTAAGCATTTCTGACAGAATTTTACTCTCAGAATAAATTCACATTAGGTTGCACATGAACATTATCATGTGGATTGAGAGCTCATTGAGGGATCAAGAGTACAGTGGATAAGGATTAACTGCAGAGTATCAGGCTGGAGGGTGGGGAGCAGCAGGTTGGTGCTAGTTCCAGGGGTAGTCCCCAGTCCTCCATGGGAGTGTGCAGGACCAGGGCTTGCTTGTATTACCTTTCTCAATACATTAACACATTGTACAGATGATTGGGAGGTAGCAGAAAGGACTGGCAGGGTGTGAGATGTTCCTACAAGAGGACCTAGAGATTAGAATACGAGTTCTATCCCAGGAAAACATAAACTAATGGGTTGTGTAAAATTGTCCCACCTACACATACTCAGTGGCAGGGAGATGATAGCTGGAAAGCACTGAGCTGGCATTAGCTATTTTTTTTCCTACAGGTTTTCAAACAAAGACAAAGCCACCAGACCCAGATGTCCTGGCTTGGTATTTAATGGCCTTGCTACTGCTGTTAGAACGGCTGTGTGCGCCAGGAACAGTTTCCTGTGCAATATCTATTTAAAAGGATGTGCCAACCTCACTAAACAAGCAAATTTGATGGATGTAATTAGTATGTCATTCTGCAGTTGTAACAGAGATGGTACTTAAATGCCCATTAGGCTCAGGAAGTAATACACTCCATTAAGGTGAACAGAGGAAGTTAGCACCTCTCTCTCAGGACTTGATGGAAAGTCCATAAAAGTCAAAGGGCTTTGGATCAGGCCTCCATGCTTTTGTTTGTATCTTCTTGGATTTAGACTCAACAAAACCAACTATGCACCATTTGCACTGGGAAGGTTAATCTCACAACCAAAGGGGTTAGAAATGTGTGCTATAAAAATGTTTAGAGTCTGCAGAACACAACATATTCTGCAGTTTCTATGGAGTTTTCTGCAGTGCACTTTTTCTGTTCGTTACAATGCCAAATCTCCAGTGTATTATTCAGAGGTAGAAATAAAACCATTGCTCTGCTTTTCCAGGTTCAGTTGCTAGTAGAGTATGCTGCTTGCTTCTTCTCCAGGAAAAAAAATGGCTTTGTATTAAAGGTAGATTCAAGACCATTTTCGTTTGTATGAGGCAAGTGCATCAATTATCTGACATCTCTAAATTTCGGATTCGTTAGTAGAAGATCAAGATAACCTAAGAAAGATGATCAAGCAGGGGTGATACATGCTAATTGCTGTGAGATCTTGCAGAAGTTACCTTGAAATTTCTCTGTAATGCCATTTTGTTCCATCAAATAAAATAGAGTTATCTTGAAATCTCATAGTAAACTGTGGCATTTTTTTGCAATAACTGTGCAGCAAGCCTGTGTTTCCAGAAAATGGAAAAAGTATAATTAATAGGTCTGATTCAGCACTACTGAAGAACCTGGGATGCTTTCCATCAGTTCTAATGGTAGTTAAAATGGGCCCTAAATTTCCTACAGCGGGAAGATGAGGCTTCCTAAGTTAGGTATTTTAGTTTATTTCCTTAGCTTTGTAAGAGGTTCTTTAGGGGTCATGTCCTGCTCTAAGTGGAGTATTTCAAGCAGCAAAATGGACTACTCTCTCATCTCCCTTCCCCTCCCACCCCACTCCCCTTGATAAATACATATTGCCTGATAATAAGGAGATAATAAAGCCACACATATCCAGTTCTCAAAACTCTTGGCTCTCAAAAGCCAAGGCAAAAAGATCGTAGCTTGCAATATGGTCAAACAGTTAAGCCTATTGCAGAACCAAGGGGGTGAAAGAGGAATTTTTCCTTCTGAAACTGGAAGTGGGGGGTGGCGGGGAGGATGACATTACTCTGTCAGTAGCTTCCTCTTTTCCTAAGAAAGCTCCAGTTTAAACAGCAGTAGCTAATTGCAGGGTATATCACAGGGGAGTAAGGTCCAACAACTAGGTGAAAACACTCAAGAACTGCCAGGTTCAGAGCAACCTTGAATTCCACCCAGCAATTCATTAGATGGCAACACCCATTCCAGAGCAGTGATGTATTTTTCCTCCAATATGTAACTGCTTAAAATGTGGACATCATCAACATCCTGTGCCTGCTTCAGCTTCTGAATGGGCTCAGTCTAGACTGGTATATAATGGCAATCTGCCGTTCAGAGGATGGAGATGTACATAGGTATGGCTAAGTGTACAATGGAAATGAAGGACTGCACTCTTTTCAACAGATGCAAATGTGTTTTAGTGAAGTGCTTTTGGACAAAGCCAGAGCATCCACAATAAGCAGCCTAGCATCTAACATGACACTTAATTTTCTCACCTGCTTTACAAATGGAGTTACGCTCCGAGAGGGAGCAGTGATGATAAAAATTCTATCACAGCTTCTGTCTGCTTTTCACCAGCTCACCAAAATGATCTCAGTTGTGTCTGGATTAATTGGCAATCAGTCAGCTCTTGATTCAAGCTTTGAGTTCATTTAGACTTTGTGTAATGTGTTTGATGGCACCAACTGAAAGCCATTAGCACATTGAAAAGAACTGCAGTACATAATTCCCTGATAAGTACCACAGAGGCCTCATATATAAGCACACGTGTGTGTGCACATGTGTGTGTATTGGACAGGATGTATGACAATAGGGACCACCTTGGTGCACAAGAACCAAATGACATCAATTTGGTGCTACCAATCAGCTGTTGAGCTGTCTCAGAGAAATAAATGCAGTGTCACCAGAGAGCAACTCCATGCTCTCTTGAAAGAGCCTGTAAGTAATTTAATACATCTCATGGCTAATCTAAAGCTCCAGGCTGACTTCA